GCATCTTGTTGCTGTTTGAACATTTGTATGGACTCTGATAAAAACACTTCTTCAGGCTGAGAGTCCAACAAAATAAATTCTTTATGTATTTCATCTAATATTTTTGCAAACTATTAAATATTTTTGTAAAGTATTTAAACAAATAAAACTGTGAGACAGCAAATTACCTGTACTATAAATAATTCTTGACAATCATTTCCACTCACCTTCTGCGCATCAAGATCACGTCAATCACGCCACATCCATTAGCAATGAAGGCGATTTCCTTGACCGCAATATGCATCATTCAAAGATTTTTTTTTTATAATTCTTTATTTTTGTGTGCAGATAAATACAAGTATATTCGCAATGCCACAATAGCAGAAGCAGGCGCAGTCTGAACAACATAACATATCAGAAGCATTGCATTTGAGAATCAGCATATTTTTGTAAATAAAATAATGAACAAGATATCTAACATGTCAAGGCAAGAAACATGAAGTACATGAAGAAGTGTTGAGCCACATATGGACAAATTATTTACTTTATGTAGGAAGCACTGGGTCAAGTTATACATATCGACATAAGGCAAATAAGGTGTATACTCTTAAAGAAACTGACTCATCTATGAGTTGTAAGACTAGGTAGATGTGGTAGTATGCGTATAGAGTAGTATGAGTGAGAGAAAAGACTATCACATCAGAAAACCCAGTGGAGCACTATATTAAAACAAGGGATACAAAATATATAGTACGACAAATATATGGCTTAGAGCCTGGGAGGATAGGCTCAAGTCACACACGCAGGGGTATTTAAAGACAATACCAAGCTTCTTCTATAGTAGTATCCTGGTACTCAGAGAGAAGAGACAAAAAAGGAACAGACTCCTAGTGTATTACCCTTTCAAATGGATATCACAAATCAAATTGGTGCAAATAATTGCTCACCTTGTTGAGAGCCAAAGGAAACTGGGCTCTCAGTATTATAGACACTGTGCCTTTAAGAGGGCACAACTCTTCTTTTAAAGCAGGAAGAAGATGCTGCAGCACATAGGACTCAATTGAAAAATAAAAACACTTTATTATAAACAAACATAAAATATAATAAAATACCATCTAACAATGGTTCTTAACAAAGTCCTTGCTGTCCGAGACGTGTTTCGCCTTATCTCCAAAATGCTTTCTCAATCGGTATCCTGCTGCTCATTATCTTCTTAACTTATACCCCGAAATCCATTCTGATTGGTTCCTCCGATCTTCAATTAATATTTCCATCTGTCCTTATGAGGAAGAAGGTTCCGGTTCAGCTGTATTTAGTTCTCTTGTAAACGAAAGTGACGTATCGGAGTAACTGCAAACGTCACTTCCGGTAGCCGCAATCATCATGTACTGTACTGGCAACTGCCAGAAAAATCCATATATATAACTGGCAAAACCTAACATACAGCAGTGTGTATTTACGAAACATAAGGATGAAAAAAGATAGAGAAAAGTAGTATCAATATGGTACATTGAAGATAAAGATACATTAATAAAAAAACATATTAACAGTACTTACTCAAAATAGAGACACATAAAATAAAAAACTCATTCTTAATATTTTCTGCATAATAAAAGTAGCTTACTTTTATGTGTGTTAATTAATACAATTAGTATACATTACACAAAAAAAGAATTATAATTATAGAACACAGTATAAATGTCCTATGTATATTAAATTCAAAAATGTGTGTTAAAACATACCCAGTCTATTAAAGTGAAAGGTTTGTGACAAACAGAAATTAAAATATAAGCATAAAATTATGTATCTTAAAATTGTAAATAGAATATAACAACTAAAATTGAAATAGAGATATGTTCTCATTGGGATATACACACTGTCAGAATTACTAGTTGATTCAGCACGTAGAATTGTGTCACACAGATGACTAATAGGTAACGTATTACCGGCCTTAGAAATGCCGGACTTAACGTACCAAAGAATAGTCAGGATATTTGCCAAGGTCAGGGGATACAGAAAGAGACACAACAATAAGAGAAAGCCAGAAGTCAGGGATACAGAATACAGGGAAGTCAAAATCAAAGCTAAAGTAAAAAGCCAGAAGAAACTTGAATCAGGAACGCGCTCTCGGACAACCACCAGGGAAACCACGACAGGGCACTGAGCAGGATGAGAACTGTGCCTAAATATCCCTCCTCTAGATCTGATAGGCTGTAACCAGCCTTTGACCCCAAAGGCAGTTACCAGGTTTCCATTTGCATAATTGCTGCTCAGCATAAATCCTTCTGTGGATTTGGTTGCTGCTCGGCACAACTTTTCCTGTGTGGACAGTAAATGCCATTAACCACATTTTTATAAGCAGATGAATACGTGACACACACCATATATCATGAGAAGTGGCAAAGCTCAAAGTCGTTGTTCAGACCTTTTGGATCTAAAGTATATAATTGGAATATCCATTTCATTTCTGTTTGTCCCATTTTCCTCACCAAATCATCTCCCCTCCAATCTGTGACTACTTTTTGAATGCCCATAAAAAGAATTTGTTTAGGGTCACTATTGTGAAAATTTTTACAATGGAGAGACACATTATGTTTCATAAACCCATTTCTTACATTTATAACATGTTCTTGTACCCTTATTTGAAGGGAGCACATGGTACGGCCAATGTATAACAGACCACAGGGACATGTTAGCATATAATTACTTTTTTTGTATGACAAGTGATAATGTCCTTGATTTTGTAACTTCTTAGGGGAATTTTAGGATCTGAGAACTCTCAAATTCCGCACCCATAAAAGCCTTTAGGTGCATTAAATGATATCAATGCATCTATTAGCGTGATTATTCGTAAGATCATTTCGTAAATTAGATACTCCTCAATAGATAATTCTAGGTTGGTCCGGTAAAAGTGTATTTAGAATTTCATCACTTTTAAGGATGGAACAATGTTTAGAAATTGCTTTTTTTGCTAATTACTTTGGGTATTAAAGTAGCAAATAAAGGCTATATCACTTTCATTAGAGGTCGATGATTTATCTTTATATTGTAAGAGGACATCTCTATCTTTAAGTACTGCCTCTTGATAGGCATTGTCCAAAAGTTGTTTATGATAACCTTTATCAAAAAAATCATTGATTTTCTGCGCTTGTTTTTGAAATACAACAGTGTCGGTGCAATTGCGTCTTATCCTCAAAAGTTGGGCCTTTGGTGCATTAAGGAGCCAGGGTGAATAATGACAGCTACTGCCTTCAATGTAGCTGTTAACATCCGCCTTTTTGAAAAATGTACTGGTCTTTATGGTGGTGTTATCAATAAAAATATTGAGATCTAAAAATTCAACTGAGTCTTTGCTGCTATTTTTAGTGAGTTTTACACCCCAATCGTTGTTATCAAGATGGGCAAAGGAACAGATCCAAGGATTCGCTGCTACCCTTCCAAATAAAAAAAAATGTTGTCTATGTAACGATGGTAGGACACCAGGTTTGCACCCCATCTCTGTTTGTCAAAGATGAAAACAGTATGACATAAATACATTGGCATAACTGGGTGCAAACCTGGTGCCCATCGCCATTCCACAGATCTGTATATAGAATTTTTCGTTAAACCAGAAATAATTATTGTGGAGGATCCAATTAATACCTTTCAAAATAAACTCGACTTGGGATTGAGGGAAAGTACCAAATTTTTCAAGAAAAAATCTTGTTGCTTCACAGCCTCTTTCGTGTTGTATTATAGTGTATAAAGAATTTGCATCGGCTGTTACTAACAGGTATTCCCCGTCCCATGTAATATCCTTAAGGAGCTGCAGGATACTTATAGTGTCCTTAAACCCCTTAAGGACCAAACTTCTGGAATAAAAGGGAATCATGACATGTCACACATGTCATGTGTCCTTAAGGAGTTAAATACCCTGGACATTTCCATACTAAGGGTTGTAGGCATTGGTCAATATATTGTGACAATCTATTAGAAATCGACCCTATCCCTGAAATGATGGGACATCATGGTGGTTTAGTGATGTTTTTATGGATTTTAGGCAAGTAATAAAAGACCGGAATTTTTGTATGATGAATAGTTAAAAATTCTGATTCCTTCTTACTAAGAATGCCTTCTAACTTCCCTTTGTCTATTAATCCACTATAACTTGCCTTAATATCACTTGTTGGGTCTTTATTCAAGACTATATAGGTCTTGATATCATCCAATAGCCTATTAGACTCTTCTATATAGTCTGTTTGTTCAATAAGGACTATACCTCCTCCCTTATCAGCTGGTTTTATAACCAGTGTATTATCCTTTTTAAAATCTTTCAGGGCTTCTCTCTATTGAAAGTTCAAATAATAGTAATTTTTCTTAATAGGTTTAATTCGATTGACGTCTTTCATAACCATCTTTTCAAATGTTGCCATTTCATTTGAAATGCAAAATTTAGGAAAAAATTTAGATTTTTCTAAGAGTTCTGTATGCACAAATGCATCACTTATCTCGTTATTTATATATCCTAATGACTGTTTTTTCCTAAACTTCTTAAGACACCGCTTTCTTTTAAACCTATTTAGGTCTATATACGTGTTAAATTTGTCGAGTGTTCTAGTTGGGGCAAATTTTAGGCCCTTTTCAAGTAATTTCAAATGGGGTACAGATAATATTCTGTTTGTGAGGTTAAAAATGCCATTTTGTTTCATTGTCTGTCCCTTTTTTCCTCTTTTGTATATGTAGTCCTCCTCTAGTTCCCCTTCCTCTAGATGTGGTAGTATCAATGGGTCAGATATTGGGCAGCAGAACATAAAGGGTTCCCAAAAGGGGTGTGGTCAGGGTTATGTGAGTGTTACCCATGTAAGCGTGTTTTCATCTAATCTAAGGTTGGGAAATATACTGTAACTTTGCATATGCCGAGTTGTGGAGAAGCACCCCACCAACCCCAGATATGGTTGTGTCCCTGCTGCATGTCTATAGTAGTCCAGCTACAGCTAGCCACAGGATCAAACCTCTGAGACCACCCCGTGCACTTGGTAAGCCTAGCGAACAGAGACTGCCTGATCATGGGGTTTGCACTTGGGAAGTCGGCCCTTCACGGAGCTCCAAACGGGGGCAAGATGGCGGTGGGTAGCGATCAATGTGCTGTAGCTTTGGATCCACATCGGTCCTTGGCTGCTACGGTTGTGCATGAGCTGTGGCCTTTGTCTCTGCTCTGGTGTGCGACAGCTGACAGGGTGGGGCGTGTTACGGGAACCCCTCTGTGCTGCTGCATGGTTTGCTTGACAGTGCTTCAATTGGACCTTATGTCTGGATGTAGATGGAGGAGTCACCACAGCTATCTGGTTCTCCTGAGCTGCATAGAAGGCAGGGTGTCGGGTGCAGCTCTTTAAGTGGCTCCAGAACTCTTGGCAAATCTTGTCGAATTTGGTGTCAAAGTTTTCTTGCCATGTCTGGACTGTCATGCTTGTGTGTGGCTGTCGAGCTTACACCATGGCAGCCATCTTAAGTGCCCCATGCGATCTCTGATTCAGTGGTGTTTGGGTCCAGCACTGCAGGGATGAAAGTGTTCCCAATGGGACCGGGATATGCCCCAATGGTCCAAAGGGGGGGTAACAATGTTGCTAGGACTCCGCTCTCCGGCTTGAGCCCAGAGCTGGGAGATCAGCCATTTCTCTCAACTGCCGGACTGTCAGCCTCAGATGGCCGCAAGGTAGATCACAGTATAAACCATCGAGACACCCTGGAACAGGCTGAGTATATTGCAGCTTACAGTACAAATGATCCCCTGTTAGTGTAGTGCTATTTTAGCAAGCTTTAGTGTGTTATATGCCTGTTTTTAGATTAAGCCAGCCAGAGCTAGAGGATTACACGTTCAGCCCCACCCCCTACCATTAAAAGATTTTAATACAAAAAATGTACTCTTGTCTTGTAAAAATATTTTTGTTGAATGGTAGAGTGGATAAGGCAATCCCTACTTCAATAGTTTGCATATGTTATTCAAAACAAAAATCTATCAAATGGTATTGCAATACGATTAGTAAGATGTATAACCTTGTATAAATAGCGGTACAATGGGTGATGTAAGCAGCATAGGTCAATAGACCCATTATATCAAAAATGAATTAACTTTCTGCTGATAAGGTTTCGTGCTAGGTAGGCATGTAAAAAGCAAAACTTTTGGAAGGCTTCCGAATACCTGAACATTTTTGTTGATTATTCATTGTTACAGTTTATCCACTTATGAAAACACATTGTCAATTGTATAATGTTGACACAAGTCAAGGTACTTCCATACTATGTAGGACAAATGTTCCCTCAAATTGCAGTTCCAACTACCAAATTGCAATTGAATGCCTATGGACCCAAAAAGACAAAACTGAAAACTGAAAGTTGTGATGACTTAGAGTAAAATAGCTAAGTGAGAAAATATCAGTGACTACTAAACAAGAGTTTCTTTTCTTTTCTTTTTCTGTTTTTTTTTTTTTTAACCACAGCCATAATACCACACATTTTGTCTGGTTTCCAATCACCACAACCCTGTGTTTAGTGAACAGATCCCATAGTATAAATGTACATAACCATTTAGCACTCTGGAGGCTCAAATGAAAAAATAGATGCATTCAGGAAACGCTTCCATATATCAGATCTGATTTAATATTTTCACAAAGTGCATAAATGCTTTGATACAAGTACTATTTTGAACTGATAAAATTATGATTTTTTATTCCATGTTTGTTCTTTATGAATTTCAAGACAAGTAAAATGTATGCGCAGTATATTTTTGATTGATTTTACATAATCCTCTGCATGAGCATATGAACTATTTTATCCACAATCCTTTATTTCTGTACCATACAAACAGTAACAAGAATATGTATATAATCCTATGTCTATCCAATTCCATGTCTCTTTCTGCATGTCTGAATATAATTATTTTGTATAATTCTGAATTTTGACTATAATCCTGTGCTTTCAAATAGTTTTGTAAGCCAAAAGGTTTCTGAGCTATACAGAGATAGAGATAGAAGAGACCAACATAGAAAACAGATACAAAGATATGAATGAATATTGCATTAAGTGTGGATCATAGAACACACACATTTTGTTGTTGGACTTGATTTAAATTTTTATTGTGTACGTTTCCGAAGACCCTAGAGCAGCGGGTCCCAAACTGTGTGTCGCAGCACACACTTATTAATCTCTGCATGGAGGCACTGCATTTATTCACTGCATCTCTACGAGGAGATGCTGATTGGCGTGCATGCACAATGTGCAATGCGCAAAAGCCTCCCAATGCTTTCCTAAAGAAAAAAATTGGATTGGTTGAAATCACCAAGCTTGATGATGTCAGCCATGGAGGTAGAGCAAAAGGGAAAAGGGAAAACAAACTTTAATCTCCAGAGAGAAGGGGGGTGGGGACCTATTGATGTATTCCAGCACTATAGAGCCAGGAATATATGTTTGTATTCCTGAAACTATATTGTTCCTTTAGGCTTCAAAATGCCTTATTTAAATCTCTAAAGTAGTATATGCTTAATGCAGATTATGGTTTTCTATTGTAACATTCCCTATTCATTCAGTGTTAAATAATGTAGGCGCTATTTAACACTAAGCAAGAGTCCCTAGCCACCCACAGACTGCCTGTTATTTGTAGTATGGCTAAACCAGAAATTACACACTTCCCCCTAGCCATACTGATTCATACCAGCAACACTCTCAGTCAATCACATCTGCCCATTGTGGATCAAGCTAATGCTTCCTCATTCGCCTCATTAGTACAAGCAGCACAGAGGAGATAGACTGCTGGGTACTCTTGTTTAGCATTAAACATTATAAATGCTTTAATACTGAATGGAAGGATGATGCCAGGGAAATCCAGAATCCATTATTTTCAAAACTTTAACATCTCTAATTGAACCTACTGCTGACTTAATTTGTTTAATGTAATCATTCCAATATTCTAGTGACTCAATCTCTAAATAGGGATTATGAGTTTGGCACCTTTATGTGAAATTTTATGAAATTGTGTTTTTTGTCTCTTTAATATTATTTTTTTATTTATAAGTGTTACTCTGTCATATCTATATTGCAATCATGTGCTAATTATATTAATAAATCCTAATTATTTCCCATGTATGCAAACGTTAGTCACTATGAATACCTCTACCTAGTGACTGTATACACCTCAATAGATACAACAGAATGAATTGAGAATGCTACAAAGAAAGCATTTACAGAAGAACTACCCTCACCAAAATGTGTGTTGATCTAGTTGTCCATATTCTATCCGCTCCAGTGTTAGTGTTACTCCTAAAACCAGTATTTTCATAAAGCACTGTTTTTATTTAACCTTTTTAGTGGTCCCTCCCCCCCCCCCCTTACCCCAAATAAGTATTAAAAAAAAAATACATATCTCTGTTCTGTCACCAAGTCCAAATTCTCACTAACCCTGCTTAGCTGTCATAATCCCTCTTTGCTGGGGGGTGGAGGGAAGGAGGGGTGAGAGAGGTCAGGGAGGAAAGACTGAGTGAAGAAAAACAAGAGAAGACAAAATAACTACCTCTGGTAGCAAATCTCTTTGGTCTGTTTTGAGACACTCCAGTTGTGGTCTTTCCTTATTTAACATTTTAGTTGCTAAAATAGGAACAGCTAGACAAGCATACAATTTGGTGAGTGTGGTTATTTTGTAAATACTTTGCAGCTTTATCATTAGATTATATTGCATCTATTGAAGTGTATACAATCACTAGGTAGGGATCTTCTGTGCTACAGAAATATATCTTTATTTGTTTTCTCAAAAAAAAATTGCATAACATTAGTGAAAAATTAGTAATATGATAAACATTAAAATAAAAACAAATATAGGGATAAGCAGTTCTATATATGCTACCTTAGCATTAACAGATATCAAACAAATATGCAAAAACAACATAGTGACTTAAAGGGACACTCCACTGCTGAAATACAAAATACATACAAATCACTATTTAGTATAAAATATACCCCAATGAAAGCTTGCATGCATTTTGTAATGCTTATTTTCATTGTAGGCATGTCTAAAAGTAACTTGCAAAACTTGCAGTTTTCTTGTCTAAAGCCTTTGCAAGCCCTCCTCTTCAAATCCTGTCCAGACTTTCTGTGGCTGTCCAATCACAGACTTTCTAGTGCAGCTCAATGAGTAGCATTTGCAAGGCAGATACCCTGGGCAATTGTTACCTCTTGAGTTTAGCTCCACTGAGCTAACCAAACCAGGAAGTAACAAGACATGTTGTCTGCTTGAAATCCAAGGGCATTTAAGCAAGTTAATTTATAAGTGTCAATTTCTAAAAACGAGGACACTATTTAGACATAAAGCTCTGTAGTGCCCCTTTAAGCCCAACAAAAATTATAAAAATAAAAAAGTAATAAATCTATCAAACATCTTAAATTGATTAGGGATGTAGAATATTAAATAGCATTTGATAAGCGTATGATATGAGGACAGGGGATCAAACAGGTAGGACATCTAGTTGTTCATTAAAACACCAAGTGGTCACTGTTAAGAAGATAAATTCATGTGGTCTCAGCTGCCAATAATCTCTTAAATCTAGAAGATATGTTAATATAAGGTTTCCAATATATGCCAAATACTGACAAACCTCTCAGGACAAAATTATGTACCTGACTTTTCAATGAAGTGCTACTAGGGTATTTCTCTGTTTCAGATGATAAAGATTAATAACTTAATTGAATACATGATAATCAAATCATTATTTTTCTATTCAATATTTAGATTATTTTCCAAGAAAACATATTTCATGTTTTTAGGCTTTACAAAGAATCTATTATTCCCAAGGATGAACTCCCTTTGATAGTACTATGTTACCACTCCTAGGAAGTTATGTTAAGACAGAAAATGCATACTCTATATAACATGAGTACTTACAACAAATAAAATAACTCATTTTACAAACTTGAGCTGTGCACCTCTTTCTTCTACTACCATTTGTACAGAACTGAGTTGTTGCCTTGTCTGTGTCAAGACTAGAGAAATCTGCAGTCTGCAAGTATGTCCACAAAGGTATTGCTCTGACTTCATATAATCAATATAAAAAGAGAACTGAAAATGAAAGTGAAACATAAGTATAGACACAATGAGCTTTGTTAGGGTTTGTTACCTGTACAAGGTTACTGGTATCAATGTGAGTGTTGAAGCATATTGTTTAAATATGTGTTTCAGTGAGCATGCAGAAACGGACTGATAGTTTTCTCAATTTGAGTTTTTAGAAAAGGATGAGAACAGTGTAAGGATCAGCATGCTTCCCAATACAGGGAGGTATGTTGAGGGTGAATAGTGTAAGATTGAATATGCAGAAAATGTGAAGGTAAAATGTGTTCAATTGAGTGTGCAGGAAATGAGGAGAGTCAGCTTAAAAAATATAATGGACCAATGTTGAGGTCAATCAGGTTTTTACCCAGTGGCATTGATGGCCTGGTAAGATACTCCTTGGAGTATAAAACTGGCAGACCCCATCGATTGTTTTCTGCCACTCTTTGAACGTGGCATACAATAGCAGTCAAGTTGGAACTCTCCTCTTTTCCACTCCCTCCTGGTATTGCTATTTAACCTAGCTTTTCCACCTGACATGGAGACCTTAAGGGGAATCCTGGGGTGAGAAGTTTCTTTAATTCATCAGTTATTTGAGGAAAGTTAAATGAAATCTTTCCACAGTCTAATGGGATGCAGCAATCCCTCATTGCTGATGGAATACAGCAATCCCTCATTTATGGGGAACTTTAAATATAGACAGCCGGTCACATTTATTAATTCAATAGCACAGTGCAGTTCTAATCCAGATCCATTAGAACATGGACTCAAACTCCTTTTATAAATCAAAAGTCAATAATGGATGCTCAACATATTTACCTAAAATATTGACTGCCGGCACTCAATATATATATATATAGGAAAGAAGGTTGCGCCTTAATAAAATGGAATATACCAGAAAAAAATACAGAAATATTATATACAGTAAAACAAATGTACACACACACTGATCCATACACAGACCCATACACACATGCTGACCCATACACACACACACACACAGACAGACCTATTCATACACACACACACACACAGAGACAATGACAGACCCATACAGACACACACAGACCCATGCATACTGACACACATTCTATGAAACACACACTGCAAGTCCTCTCTTACTTTAATTGCACTTCACTCTTCACTCCTGTCATCTTTACTGCACCTGGTTCTCTTTTTTTCAAGCCCTACTTCCTGTAATTCTCCCACCCACTTGTCCCCACATAAAGGACAAGGGGTGGGAGTGAGCAAATGATGCGCCCTTGCGCTGCCACCATGCTTGTCTATGAGGGGGGGGCCCAACTTTGCAGGCTGAGGTGAATGCCTGACTGACGTTTTACCAGCTGCTAGTCTACAAGTAAGTGCTCCCTAGCGCCCAGTAATGCGGCAGCCGCAGCCCGCTCTATATAATCAATTCACCTTGATAGGGGGGTGGCCAGGTGAGCAATAAAGCCACAGAAGTGCCCTAGGCGGCCGCCTAATTGGCTTATAGGACATGCCGGCCCTGGATGTATACATGCACCTACTCATGGCCATAGTGGTAGTGATAGTAAAACTATTTGATTCCTATAGACAAGTGCAGGATTCTGTCTCCCCATGGGTTCTTTAGTCCTGTATTCACAGACGTTGTGTCTCCTGTCCTTTCAAGGTAGTTTCTGGATGTGTTGTGCTTCAGATGACACAAAAAATTAATTGCATATTTTTGCTCAATCACATTGAGTTAAATAACTATAACACTCAAGGCCCTCCTGAATGATGATTGCTGGGGTTAGCTTCACTGTTGACAATCATACACTTTTACATATTTCCAGGGAAATTATCTGATATGTAAAATGTGTCCCCTTCAGCAAGCACAGCACATTTTGTGTCAGGTTAGAGTATTTGAACTCCGTGACCTATTATATAAATTGTATTCATAATTCCATGGGATTGGAGAAGGTGTAAAAGGGTATTTTCTCTATAAATTAGTCAGTACTCTATTGAACATTGGGTAAAGGAATATAAGGGAGTCTGTATAATAATGAATTATGGTTATTTCCACATGTTCAGTTATCACACTGAGAATAGAGGGTGGGTGCATCGACATGGCTCGATTATTCTTATGTATTAACCTTCAATCCATCATACATGATTTAAAGAAATAGATGGGGACATTTTTCTTGTCCTTCCTGTGTTCCTTAGATATTGTTTCTTAATGTGTATTTCTTTTAACTATATCCCTTAGATACTTAATACCTGAACAGGAATCAGTGATGTTGCCGGGGTGGTGGTGAGGTGGTGGTATGTTGACCTGAGTTTGGACATCTGAGTGAGGTTATGAAAAGCTCTGGGCTTATTCCAAAATGTGTAATAAGAGTTAATTATACAGCACAGTGTGGTGTTATGTGGACACAGCATGTAATAATGTAGTGAGTACAAGTTTAATGCTGCAGGTTTGGGGTGAATGTCGTGGGTGGAGGGTTAATGCTGCATGGAAGAAACATGTCCACTTCAAGCCCAGCAAATTTAATTTTTTTGTCCAGCATTAAACAAAAAAAATTTAAATATTGAGGTGCTCACTGAATCTGTTGGATGTTTCCACGGTGCATATAGGAAAATCCCTTCAAGCTAGACCAAGCATTCACACATTTGCATTCAAAAATGGAGACTTCAAAAGCTGTAACAAAAATAAGTCTTTATTGAAATTTCATAAACCATTCACTCACAATAAATCATAAACCATACATTTGTCAGGCAGTGAAAACTGAGTAAAATAGCAACTGATCCAGGGTTGGGGCATACAGGACAAAAACATGCCCTCAACCGTGCGTAGAAAGACACTTTCTCAACAGCTTATGAGAGATGTTGAGAAAGCATTTTTCAATATGAAGAAAAAAAAAATACAGAATAACTAGAATTTTTTTTTGTCCACCGAGCTTCATCATATACTTGACAGATGCTCATTTTATGTGTGAATAAGAACAATGCAGAACAAATTTATGGAAAAAATAAAACAACATTTTGCAAGAACATTTAACTCAGATTACTCACTTCAAAATACAATATAAAGTAGTTTGCTCATGATTTCTATTGATAATTTGAACAGATTATGCTACTAATTTCCAAACCGTGAGACATGATCATATAATATACTGAGCACTTATATCTTGCCATGGGGGAAATATGGGGGAAACTCAATAAGGTTATGACCCTCAACATAATTTGAAAAGGAGTGTAATTAAATTACAGTGTAATCAACAGATAAATGACTGATAAGGGAAAACCTAAGGAATAACATTTTATTATTTGAAGGCATATCTTGTTCTGCATCTTCTGTAAACTGTTGGTTTTATCTGATGCTGTATTTTTTTTATCCATAACCTTCCAAACACACTTACACTCATACAGTGGTATACTGGTATTTAAGGCTGCCTTAGACTTGGCTAAATATATTTACCCCCACACACACCCCAATTAGCCTCATGTTGTGTCAAACTCACACATACAATATCATACATGCACATATCTAAAAAGCAACACTTCAATACCCATAATCAGGCATGCTATCAGAAATTTTGGCACCCCTTACACAGCTCAAGGCCTGGGCCCACAGGGCCAACTCCCGAGTTCACCCAAGTCTTCCAACAGGGTCCAACCCAGAGTCCGCCCACAGGGCCCACACTTGAGTCTGCCCACCAGGATAAGTAAAGTCAATTCAGTGTGTGTTTATAGGGGATGCAAGGTGAGTGTGCATGGTGGATGGATAATGTGTGTATGTGTGTGGTTTATGCAGTGTGTGTGAAGTTGATGCAGTGTTTGTGTATTGTGTTAGTGTAGTGGATACAGTGTCTGTGTATATGTATATTTGTAGGGTGGACAAACAGCCAAAATACAAATGTATTCTTAATTTCAGTACCCCTTCACCCAGTTTCCTTAACCCACTATAATTAACACTGTCCTGCCACCTCTTAAACTCTATTTCATTATTCTTGTCTTCCTGTCTCCTTACAACACATTTCATTAACCTATTTCTCTCATTTCCTTACCCCAAATATCATTAAACCCTTCCTCCCATCTCATTCCAATTTCATTAACAAATTCCTCTCATTTTGTCACTACAAACTTTTATCTCTGTACCCTATTGTAATAGTGATGTGCTGGGTGCTGGTTGCTGCGTGTTAGCACAGGCTACCATCACTGCTCCCTTGAACCTTGAAGTTCCAGTTGATGAAGGAGGAAGTGGGCATATGAGGTCATATCCTCCCAGCCTCCATCAATTAGTTATTCATATGGTCTATACTGCATAGGAAATTTCAGAACATGATGTGCTGAGAGAAACAGATTGCTCACAAGGTTTCTTTGTTGAATATGTGCCTGAAATGATGCCTGTCATTATTGCAGTTCTGGCACATCATTCATTTCAAAGTGTGAGAACTTCAATGATGATCTTGAAACATATTTCTCTTCCCAGCCAGACATGCAGCCAAGTCTTAGGGCTAGCAACAGAATTTTATAACATGACAGGAGGCTTCGTATTTGCATTAACTTTCTTTACCAGCTCCACAGCAGCAAAGAAAAAACCATTAAAGAAAGAACCAATCAGAGCAAAACAGAGGATATATAAGTCCCAGCGTAGCCAACCATTTCCTCTTTCTTTGCTGCTCCATCACAAGTCAGGTCAGAGTACTGATTTCTTTAAGATTCCTGTCAGGTTTCTTTAAGATGTTATTGATGTCTGTTTTACTTTAATTGTACCTGGTTGTTTTTTCTATTGTGTTTCTATTGTATTTTCAATTGTATTTTTCTATTGTTTTCTCTGCTTTGGTGCCAGGGGGACCTGAGTGGGTCTACCCTCCCCTGTCAGGGGAGCTGTGCTCACTTCGGGGCAGGGTACTGGGCTGAGAATGTCCTGGTAGTACGGGACAGCCTCTCCCAGCGCTCTCCTCTCCCTGCTTTAAGGGGTTGGTGTCAGGCTAGACCGTCCCCCCCCCCCCTTCCCTCTTATTCTACCGGTGGCTACGCTCGCCACCTTCTTCCCCCGACCGTTGCGCTCTGCTCGTGCTCTAGTAGCGCAAACAGGCGGGACGCTCATTCCCACAGGGCACCTAGCATTCGCAGGCGTCCTGTTCACGCAATTGGCTTAAAAAGGCGCGAACGGGCGGTCTGGAGCTGCTTGCGCCCTCTAAGCCGTTCGCGGGGTTTGCTGCCGCGAACGCATGTGTTCCGCAAACGGACAGTTTTCCCGAATTGCTAAAGCTAATTCAGTCCGTTTGCGGGTCCGTTCACATTTGCGTTCGGTGGTTTAGCCAGGCGAACGGCCATTCGCGGCTAAACTGCCGAACGCTTAAAGGGCTCCATTTCTCCGCTTTCTCTGGAACGGCACGCCATGGCAATTCACGTGCCTTCCGTTAGGACTGAGCTCAGCACCGTGGTGCTTCATGAAAATGCTAAAACCAGTGGTATCACACCTCCGAACACGCGGGATCAGATCCATCCGGCACACTACATATACAGTACGACTGTTAGAATCCTTGGGCTTCGTTGTCAACAAGGCCAAATCCGCAATGACGCCTGCTCAGCAAATCCAATTCCTGGGCTTCGAGATCGACTCCAGGTCCTGCACCCTGCATCTCCCGTCCGCCAAAGTGATGGCCATCGGGAAGGAGATCCGCAGGGTTCTCAAATTGGATTCCATTCCACTCCGTCAACTGGCGCGGATTGTGGGACTCTTATCTTCAATACAAGCCATATTTCTGGGACCCCTTCACTACCGAGCGATGCAACGGCTGAAGGCCAGCCTCCTCCGCCAAAACCCCACATACAACCAACCGGTCCCGCTGTCGGAAGAAGTATACCAAGAACTCCAGTGGTGGCTCCACTGCATGCAGGCCTGGAATGGTCGGGCCATCTTCGGCAGTCAACCGGACTTCATCCTGGAGTCGGACACGAGCCACGTGGGATGGGGCGCCACGGATGGAGAAACGTCCACAGGGGGCACGTGGACACACGCAGGAATTGTCGATGCATATCAATTGCCTCTAACTCCTAGCGGGCTCCTTTGCTATCCGCAGCCTTACAAAAGGGCAGTCCAATTGCTGTATACTATTAAGAATGGACAATGGATCCGCGGTACGATACATCAACCGCCTGGGGGGCACCCGGTCGAGAACCCTGGCGCATCTGATGAAGGAAATCTTCGACAACTGCCTCCCGTGCAATATCACACTACGGGCAGAACACCTGCCGGGGGAGACGAACCTCACGGCGGATTGGTATTCCCGTCATTGGAGGGATGCCAGCGACTGGCAACTGGATCCGCAAATATTCGCACATCTGCAGGATCAGAAGGGACCCTTTCTACTGGATCTCTTTGCCTCACGAAACAACCGGCAGGTCCCGCAAATCTACAGCTGGCTACCGGACCCGGATTGTATAATGGTAGATGCATTCACTCAGCACTGGCCACAACAGGGAGCATATGCCTTTCCCCCATTCGCCATGATTGCCAGAGTTCTCAATCATCTTCGCAGACGGAGGGTCCAACTAACCCTGCTGACACCCCTCTGGCCTAGTCAGCCCTGGTTCCCGGACCATCTCGAACTGTCTTATCAGGACCTGATCCTCCTACCGAACGACGACATGTTACTCAGGGACCCGGCGGGGAACGCACATCCGATGGTGTCAGACGGCCGTCTGACCTTAGTGGCCTGGACTCTTTCAGGGGAACCTGGCGAACCGACGAATTATCGTCAACGGCTAAAGACCTCCTCTGGGATTCCTGGGCCCCAGGAACACGGAGAAGCTATCTATCCGCATGGAGAGCTTGGACCAGTTGGTGCGTGGGACGTGACTTGGATCCCTTTACAGCCCCTGTTTCCGATGTCATGAATTTTCTCTCAGCCCTATTCAAAGAAGGGAAGTCGTACCGCACCATAAATGTCATGAGATCAGCTATCTCGGCAGCACACGTGCCGTTTCAAGGAAGCGCAGTCAGACAGGATCCGCTAATATGCCGGCTGCTACGGGGTATCAAACTAAGGAGACCTCCAGCACCTAAATATCAACATCTCTGGGATGTGGAGATAGTCCTTCGTTTTCTCAGGAACTGGCCTCCCAACGAACAATTCTCATTGAAACAACTGATGTTCCTGTTGTGCATGGTGTCCTTCCGGAGAGTGGATGATGTTCGGACTTTCGATAAGGACGCCTTCTCCATTGGCCCCGAAGGAGTCACGTTTCACATATCACAGCGTAATAAATCCAATACAACTTCAGTATTCTATCCGTTTTTCAATTCGGATCCCCAACTATGCGTG